GACTAAAACTACATGCAAGTTTTCCATTGAAAAGTGAAAAACTGGTCATCAGACCATACTGTCTGCAAAAAAAAGTTGAATTGAAGAGTCCTTTTGCAATTAGACTTCTAGTATCATGACATCTTAGCATAGAAATGAGCAAAAAGTAACAAATTTCAATTTCTTATAGCCTCTGTGTGCATTTTTATATGTAAATATGGGCTACGGCCTAAATCGACTCTAAATAATTCTCAGTCTTACATGGCCTAAGACCATTTTATACTCATGTGGTATGCTTTTTGTAACTTTTCTTTACATTCAAAGTACATTTAATATATATGGAAGAATAATGTATGGTTAAAAAACTTCAAAAACTTCAAATTGGTTGAAAAAAATGCATGTTTATGTAAGGCTTCCCTTAATTCGAAAATCTCTATTTTCAGGCACAGGCTCATTTAAATTTGACTTTTGAATAACTGTAATAAATCTGATAAATCAAATGAGTGTTCCGTTGCTTTTAAAACTTATTATATTAAATTCAAGAGTATTTAAAAAGCAAATTTTTGCAATATTTAAATTTTTTAGGCCAAAATCTTGACAGTTGAAAATATTTGATTTAAACGTCAAAAATAAACATCCAAATTTCAATATTAAAATGGCCCTAGTTTCTATAATATATATCCTATGGCCATGAAACTTGGCCAACTATCTTATAATTGCCTAAGCTTAGGTCATGCAAAGTTTTATTAAAATTGGTCAAGTCTTTCTATCCTATTAGGTCCAAGGACACAGTTATCGTCCTTTGGTTTTCGTTGTCTACGAATATAGTCCCTAGTGTGAACAGTGTATAACTTGCATTTTTTTTTATACACTTTCCCAATTTATTTCTTGATATTTTATGCATGAAATATTAAGTAAGGGGATGAAATTACATGTTAAAAAAATTTGGGTGCTGAATCTTTATGTTAAGTAGTGATTTGGTCCAGTTAAAAAAGGTCAAAAATTAGAATGTCTGAAGCTGTCAAACTGAATTTTAGCCCCCCTTAACACAGAATTGTCAATATTTTGAGTTAGAGCTGGTAGAAGTTTCTATAATTTTGATATTATTTGTATCAATAGTAGTACACTACACTGTAAAAATCTTTTTGAGATAGAGCAGGTGCGATTTTTTAAATTTGAATTTATTGTCTAAAAGAAATGCACTACGAAATAACTGTGTTCTCGGGCCAGATGACCTCTTATGTCAAATTCCAGGTATAATTCAAAAAATGAGGCGGAGGAAGCTGTGTCTCTTGTTTCTTTAATTTCTAGTTCTGGAAGATATATTAATGGAACCCAATCAGGAAAGTTTGGATTTTTAATGGAAAGAACATCATCAATAAATCTGAATATGAAATTAAATGATCTGGCTCTTTGATCTTCTTGTTTTTGACAAGTGTCTGAAGGAACTCTGACTCATACGAAAATAAGAAGAGGTCAGCAAGGAGAGGCGCACAGTTTGTTCCCATAGTTATGCCGACAATTTGTTAAAAAAGTCTACCTCCAAATTCAACAAATATGTTGTCAATAAGAAATTCCAGCATACTGATCACTTGTTCCTCTGTGTAGCATGTTTTACCTTTTTGATCACTATTAACAAAATATGCCGTATGGTATCCCTAAGTAATAAATTGATAGCATATATGCTACCATTTTTATATTGAAAAGCATTGTGGATTATTTCTTTTAAATGATTTTTCAATTTCACATGGGGAATGGTGTTATACAGGGTTGAAAAATCAAAAGTTTTGACAGAATTAATTTCAGAGAAAGATCGAGATTTAAAATTATCCGGAAGTTCTTTAGAATTTTTTAGAATCCACATATGGTTAATACCACTATTCACAGTCAGTCAGGGGTACTACTTGTAGAAGTAATTTTTATTTACTTGAAGAAGTAATATTAATATACTTATATAAGTAAATTTGTAGGATACTTATACACAGTGATTTTGCTAGCGCTCGTCATTTTCGTCATTTACGAAAAGGTTTTCAACATGACGAAAGTATTCCAAATCAATTTCGTCACCTAAATTTGGAAAGAGTAAAAATATTTTCGCATGAAAATACTATAATTCTACCTGTCTTATTGTTTCTGACAAGTTTATGACCCTCAGTTAATTAACATTTACAACAGGTGTTAAAGTTGTGATTACAGATAATCCGCTTATCGTCATCGGATGGGTTACTAATCCGTTAATTATTTATCAACCTCATAATTGATCATCATAATAATTTTCCTCAGTAAAATCAGTCAGTCGGCATTTCAATTTCAATATTTATCAAACGAGCACAATTTGCAGATCGTTTGTCGTAGTTTCGTCATTCAAGTTTTCCATCCGACAGATCGCATTTTAATTTCAATATTTCTCAAACGATCACAATTTGCAGTTTGCTTGTCGTTGTTTCGTCAAATGAACGTATTTTCGTCATATAACTTTTAATCAAAAACTTCGACAATTTTGATTAAAAAGATAGAACTTTATTCATAACATTCAGAAATGTTTTCACGAGTCAAACAGGTGCTTCCTTTACGATGAACTGCGCATGCGCGAAAGTATTCTTATGAATTTAAAGACACTAAAACGTAAAATACGAAATTTATAAATATAGTTCTTATTTAGCAAATTTAATCTAAAAAATGATAATTTCCTGCCTTTTTTAAACACGAACTAATCCGTAAATGAATCCGGATTCATTCTGAATTTGTTATCCACTTGTCACTTCCCGTTTTCATTTCATTGGGAAATCGAAAGTAAACGTGATCTATTCGGGCGATCTATTCATGATAAATTTACAATTTAAAGTCATTAGAATTGTTCCAATAAGGATTTGTACAAATCCTTGGTTCCAACTTTATGGAATTAATTCTAAATATCGCTTTAAAACGTTTTTAAGGATAATGAGTATGAATAATGCAGTGAAATAGTCCTTACAAGTTCATTTATGCTGTGATTCCTGGTTTAAAAAAAAATTGATCCCAACTTTTACTGATTAGGAATGTACCCTGAAACTAACTGAAGTGAAATTGTGAACTAGATTTCTAGATCTTATATCCTAATCTTCCTATTAAAGTGCCATATCAGTCAAATCATGCAGTAACTGCCTAGTATGCCTAAGTCCTTCAAAGTCTGACAAAGATGTATAGATAGTAATATACATCCTAGGTCCCTTGCTGCTACCCAAAATAAGGTTGATTTTCATCCCTTGCAAAAGTGACTAAAGCCCTCAAAATCCTAGCTTAAACCCTGCTTATACAAGTGTATTTTATTTACTTGTATAGGTAAATAATTTTTTGGCTTAGTTATGTCCCTTAGACATTCAGATTTTTTTACTTATATAAGTAAAAAAGTCATTCTATCTTCTTTTCTTGAATTCTTAGGACTTCTTTGTTCTAATCGAATTTTAAATTGTCTGTCCTTTGCAGATGTCTTTATTAATCATGTAAGTGTAATTTCATGGACAATGAAAATCTCATTTGTCTGTTATCTTCAGAACACTGCTCATTTACAAGCCCCCAAGGGGCAATTTTTGAAGGCCTTGCACAAATACTTAAGATCTTTGCCCAATCAGTTTCTTTGTTGAATTAATGAGACGAAACATTGAACTCTAATCAAAAATTATGAGCTAACCTGGGAAAAATCATTAAAGGCATGTTTTTACATCTCAAAACTTGAGAATTTTTGTGGGATTGTAAAAAAAATTTACTTATACAAGTAAATTTTTGAGAAAATTAAGGGGAGATTATTCAAACATTATAATTAACTTATATAAGTATATTTTTTTTACTTCTTCAAGTAAATAAAGATTACTTGTACAAGTAGTACCCCTGACTGACAGTATTTCTAAAGACCCTCTTTCACTGCGGAGAGAATTTTTGTCAATCTAATGGACAATTCCTTTGTAGAACATGCAGATGAGCCTGCAATGTACCGTTGTTTGTACGGAATTTTGTGAAGCTTAGGTATCCAATACAAACAAGGTACTGTCGATTCATTATTATTCGTTGGATACTAATTTTCGTGGATTTCGTGGGTACAAGTGAACCACGAAATTAAATGTTCAACGAATGACATATTTTGTATAGGCTTGTATGCAGACTTTCGGTAAAACCACGAAATTAAATATCCACGAACATGCCAATTTTCCCTAATCCACTAAAATTGGTACCCACGAAAAATAAATGAATCCACAGTAAGTCCTCAGATTTGCTGTTCAATGTAATGTTCATTAGAGCCATAGGACTTATGATTCACCAAAATCTCATCCTTGTCAATGATATGTTTTTGTATGTGGGAATACCTGAGTGCTCACTTATTCCTAATTCTTTTACAAGACACTTGTAGTAGAACGATTTACATACAAAGACAGCCTTCACGCTTATATTTTGAGCCCACAAGCCAGACGCTCAGTATTTTGAAAATTTTTGTTGGATTCTGTTGGCTTGTAGAGGAGAATTTTACAAGCCCGAAAGCAATTTTACAGGCCATGGCCATAGGACTTGTGGTTAAGCGTGAAGAATGCAAAGACCATATTATTTGAAGCTTTGTCCGTAGGAAGAAAAGCATTACCATCAGGATTTTGTTATTGATAAAAAAAATGCAATTTCTGACAAAAGGGGGTTAAAAAAGCCTTATCATGGTAAATTTTCAATTCAATATGGCTGAAATTGGGAATTTCATTTCAGTCATTTGAATTTCAAATCAGTCATAGTCCATTTATCCTTTAGGCTTTGGGCAGATTTAACTGATCAGCATTCACCAAACACAATCTTTCAGTCCTTTTTAAAAAAAACAAGAGATGGGCTAGTGAATCTCACAGAAAAAATATATCATAATATGTCTTCCTAGGTGTAAGTTATAGAACATCAGATCAAACTAGGAATCACAGAGAAAACCTGTCAGAGCCATCGCATGATGGATAGCAAGCTATCCAGATGACAAGGGAGAGAACTTCACTATCAAATTCTAATTCTAACTCTACCTTTCTTCCTTCATCATTATCTGGTAAGAAACACACTCTGGGGAATCCCCTACATGTAAATCTCTTCCCTGGATGTGGGTGTTCCTGTGTCTGTACCCCGGGAGATATATGATACAATATTCTGATTGTCTGACTGTCTGGGAACCCAGGTAATGCCTGGGACATTATACAGTACTCCATCACACCCTTTGGACAATTTCCATGTTTCTCTCCATAAATTGTCTTACATGCTGGACACTGCATACTACCATTCTACAAAATAAAAAAAGGTATAGTCATCCCTTCTCAATCATTGTGTGTGATTTAAGTGATTACAGTACTGAAGTTGAAGAGTTGCCTCTGTCTATTGATGATTTGAGAGTTGCAAATACAGTTTTACTGGTGACGCGACAAGGAGATAGTAAAATAGATATTTGCCACTATGAAATCTTAACTGAAGGTGTCAACTCTTCCACTACAGTACTGTTGTTCCTATTCTAATACATCACAAAAGCAATAGTACCTTAAAGCTTGCATAAAATAGTATAAATTTAAGATAACAATAAAATAACAATGAAATGTCATGAAGGATTTGGCTGTATAAACGTTATGGCAAAACATGACATCATACAAATGAAAACACTCAAACCTAAGTTTATTTAGTTATTTGTATGATTGGGATTTTGCTAATATCTCATTAAAACAGTATTTTTAAGGTAGGTGCTGTTTTATATTATAGTAATCGAACATTTGTGGATTCCAACAAAACAGAAACTAATATTTAGATTAAAAATCATGATAACAGTCACATTAGTATGATTGTTTAATATAAAAGTGACCGGTTTTCAGCAGATAATGAAAATACATACAAAGCTTGAACTTTTTTATGAATTACAAACGATAGCTCTTAAGAAGAACTCACTTCTTCTGCGATTTGTCTGTTTTCCTCATTCATTTTTTTTCTTTTTTCCATTCCTTCATATTCAAGTTATTTGTTTTTTGGTTTTTATTTGTGGGCATATTTCACAACAAGAATGTGCCCATAGTACACGGATGCCCCTATCGCACTATCATTTTCTATGTTCAGTGGACCGTGAAATTGGGGTCAAAACTCTAATTTGGCATTAAAATTAGAAAGATCATATCATAGGGAACATGTTTACTAAGTTTCAAGTAGATTGGACTTCAACTTCATCAAAAACTACCTTGACCAAAAACTTTAACCTGAAGCAGAAAAAACGGAAGGACAGACTGACGAGCGGACAGACGAACGAACGCACAGACGGAAAAACATAATGCTCCTAGGTCGGGCATAAAAATTTACTACCTTACCTTGGAACCACTGTCATACATGGCTATTAAACACAACTTATGGAACATGTGACTACATTTATTGAGTTGATAAACAACATGATTTTCCATCTGACCCTCTCCATATCCTGAGGCATGACTCAATTTTTCACAACATATACAACAGTCCTGAAACAGAAAATGTACCATATATATTAAATGATAATATTTATCCTTAAAAAATGCTTTATTTAAGATCATATCAAAATGCTTATTTTTATGACAACCTATGCTAGTAGCTTTAAAATAAAGCCTTAAAAAAGCACAATAAATGATTTAAATATAAATTACAATGTATCTCACTTTTCCTTTGTTTCCACTTACTTCAACATTTATAGCCAAATTAACACAAACAAAATGTCCACAGGGGTTCAAATTAGTGTGGGTCCCAGGTCCAGGACCTGTCTTTTCTAGGAGAGGACTTTTCATTTTTAAATTACAAAAGTCAAGGACCTACCATTCTTTACACTGATGCTTTATACACTACCATTGATTTGTTATGGAGGACCTTTCACTTGAAATTTCAAATGGTCCTGGACCTTTCATTATTTAAAGCAAATTTGAACCCCTGGTTCATTGTTTTCCTTTGAATCTGTTTAATCAAGAATTCATATAGTCTTGCAATATAAATCCTTGGTTCAATTTATCATAAAACACTAAAAAGGCCCTTTATCCTATTATGAATGAAAGCCCCAGATTAAGCTGACTCTAGGAAACACACTTTCATCTATTATAGTTTTGAGACAAATTCTGTTTTGTGATGTACAATGTTTAAATAAAAAAATTTGTGAAAAACAAGATTAGGAAAAGAGGTTACCATATCTTTAATTTCAATACATGCATGGTTAAAAAAAACTTTTGTGAACTTGAAGTCAATCACAAACAAAAAAAAATCTTGCATTTTCTTGAATATTTGATTTCTTGGTTTTGCCAAAATCTGCATACAACCCAATAGAAATTTGTAATTCGTTGAACATTCAAATTTGTGGGTTACCTATATTCACGAAATCCATGAATATTAGCATCCCACAAATAACAAGCATTCTGAGAGTATTGCATGGTAATACATAGTCCCCTACCGGGTAAAAATTCATTTTACTGGAACAAAATGCTAACTTGTTCTATAACTTGTCATGGTGTAAACAAAAAGTAAATATCATGTCAATATCTTCAAGCATGACAAAAAACAGTGTGGAAAACTGATTATATGAGTGAAAAAAACATTAGATATGATTAATAGCTCTCTAAAATTATATACGATGTAATACAGTGTATATCTATTTTCAAATTATAATCAAACATAATTAATAGTTCCAAATATTTTTTCTTTCATTTGTCGCAAACTAATATAGATTTGTAACTTATCTATAAAATGTCAACAACTTTTATCTACACAATGTAATGTATTGAAATATATACATTAATAAAAAAATTAAAGGATTTCTCTTCATAATTTTTTTTTATATATATAGCATTCAGAAAATTAGTTTATACTAAATAACAAAAAAACCTGCCAAAAAATTCTTCAAATAATTTAACAAAGAATGTCTTTTAAAAAAATTAGTTATCTCCCTTTGTACAGAAATATGGTTTAACATAGTACTCTAACATTAGATATGGTCCAGAGTTATGGTCCATAACTCTGCACTAAATCATCAGACCGGAACAAAATTCGAACTTGGTCTATGACTTGTCATGATAAAACTATATACCAAATATCAAATCAATATCTTCAAGAACGAAGAAAAAAAGTGTGGAAAGGTGATTTGCCGGACTGACGGATGGACAGACGGACAGACGGACGGAGTGCAAACCTAAAGTCCCCTTCGACTTTGTCGGTAGGGGACTAATAATGAATCCACAGTATTTGAAAGTAACAAGTATTGTACGTGATGTTGCTGAATCAAAGACACGATTGTAATCATGCCATCTTTAGAAAAAGCTGCCATTTTGTTTGATTCTTTCTGCAAAGTGTACATTTGATTACAAACAAAAGTGTGATTTCAATGGGAGATAATCAACATTTTTATTGTTGTCTTTTTACCTGCATTTATCTCATGGAAATAAACTCTATTCATATGATAACAAAAAATGTTGGTGATAATTTTGGCCACTATCACCATATACAGTGACAAGACCTATAAATCCATTATGTTCATACCTCGTCAGCAGGAGGCTGTTGTATCACTTCTGTAAACTGTTCAAATATCTCTGTATCTGATGTTTTACCTAAAATTGTAAGATACATTGAAACCTCTGACACTGATCCTCTTTCTGAATGAAAGTTATTTGGATTATATAGTTAAACAGTGGAGATATGTAAATTAAAAAAAAAATGTCAGTTAACTCAATTTTACAGTTTTTTCAATGTCTGGTTGCAGAAAATTTTCTTTAATGTATAATAAAATTGAGAATGGAAATAAAACAAGAGTCCTCTCAGAGTGACAGCAAACCTGATTTTCCTGCATGAAAATGATATTTGCAAATCTGGACCCCCAAACATGATCAAGTAAAAAAAAAAGTTTAGATTCAGCATTTCAAAGAACCCCATATATTCAATTTTTGTTGAAATCAAACAGTTTAATTTTGGACCCCCGATTAGGACTGACCAACTTGAAAACTGGGCTCAAAATCAAAAATCTAAATACATGTTTATTAATAAACAATATTAGTTTTAGTTTTTAAAGGAGTTTCCTCCATAAAATATAAATATATATATATATATAGCATTCAGAAAATTAGTTATACAGAATAACAAACAAGCCTACCACAAAATTCTTCAAAACATTTACAAAAAAAAAATCAAAAAAAAAATCAAAAATATCATTTATCATTAATACTACAATAATAATTAATATTAATCTATAAAACTTATCTGTAATTAATTTCAAAATATATAATAATGAGCAGTAAATTTCAAACTATATTCATACTGTCCTACAGAGCTTATCATCAATAACACTTAAGAAACACAAAATTTTCAAATAAATCTGTCACTCCAATTATAATTTTGTTAGTTGATAATTACCACAGGTTTGTTATCTTGATAAAATTATTGCATGAATAAAACAGATACAATCATTGATAGACTATCTATCCATATACTTATTAATTACACCATTTCTGTCCAAAGGGTAATAATTCAAAATAAATAAATCATATAATAAGTATCATTTTTGCTACTGAAAGGTCTACAACTCAACGAAAATCTGGTTAAAAAGTTAATGTAGATATAGTGTCTGCTTTGGCAGAAATAGTGTTTGTTTTGTGTTTCAATATTTACTGTTTAAAAGGCATTTTGTGTAAGTTACCTTGTTTTTTACTTTGCCTAGAAACAATGTTAGGAATTTTAGCTTCTTCTGGTATGTCTAAATGTTGTGAACCAGATCTTACTGCATTACTGGAACCTGCAAGACAAAAGAGATATAATTACAGTCAAACTTTCTATAAAGGTCACCTTTATTAAGCCAAAAATCTGATATGTCATATCAAATACTTCTGTTCCCACTGTAGTAAGATCTATGCGTTTTAAATCCCAATTCAAAAGTAAAATATCAAAAATACAGAACTCCAAGGAAAATTCAAAGATGAAAGTCCAATACCAAATCGCAAAATCAAAAGCTCAAACACATCAAACAAAAGGAAAACTTGAACTGTCATATTCCTGACTTGGTACAGACATTTCCTTATGTAGAAAATGGTAGATTAAACCTGGCTTTATAGCTAGCTAAACTTCTCACTTGTATGACAGTCGCATAGAATTCCATTTCACCTGTTTTATAAGTTCAGTATTTTTGTTTCCCAAGATCTACCTTTATATAAGTTTCATAACATTTGGTTCAGATAAACTTAAGTTGGAGAACGGAAACTAAAAATTCAGCAATTTTTCCATTTATAAAGGGGCATGACTCTAGAACGGTTTAAGTGACACCATCAAAATTCAAGCTTGATCTGTGTTTTGTGGTAATAAGCATTGTGTATTAGTTTCAAAACATTTGGTAGAGGCAATTTAAAGTTAGAGAACGGAAACCAACTTTAGGACGTACGTACGTACGGATGTACAGACATACAAAGGTAAAACTTAATGCCCCCTCCGCTACGGCAGGGGCATAAAAAGTATCATCAAAAATACAATTTTTCCTTAACCCAAGAAAATTGTGACCAACGAAAATAACTGAATCCACAGTATCACAAAATGTTTTAAACACATGGACAGAAAATTCATTTCTACACTACAGCTCCAGTGGATTTCGTCCATTACACCTATCAATAATGCACTTCCACCTACCCACCATGTATCTTGGGAATTTAAAGGACATAAAAAGATCTTTTTCTCCTTTCAATTGTTTCACATTTTTCATGTCTGGTGTTTTTATAGCTTACCATACTGTATGGATTTTTTTTTATTATTGAAAGTTGTACGGTGACCTATAATTGCTTATATCCACATCATTAGAACTCTCACTAGTGGATAATTATCTCACTGGCATTCATACAACATGTCCTTATTTTTATGCTTAGTAAACATTATAGAACCCTGTGTAATGTCTTTTATGCCTTCATAAGTGTACTTTGTTAATTAGATATAAACAACTTCCTGGTTTGGAGCAAGTTAAAATTTCTTGGCCTTCTTTCATATATGGAGAAGTACATTTTGTAATTTCTCCCCTTACCTGATGGATATGTCATGCCACTGGATGCTGCAGGATGGCCACTATAAAGAGAAAAGATAAAAATTAACATAAAAATTGAATATGTTTAAATTCTAAACATTAGGATGAAGTTTCATCTTGATAAAAGTGTTTGTCTAGACTTACTGGTAATTATTTATTCATTTTTATGTACAGCGCATGCAGAGTTTTCAAAACAATAATAATTTCAAAAAAATATGTATAACAGTACATTTTTTAAAAATTTCCTGTTCAGAAGAAATAAAGAGCTGCGCCATGAGCGCATGATATGCCTGTCGCTTTTTTCAATGAATAGAGTTCCATAACTCCTCAATGTCATATCAGAAATTTAAAAAACTAAAGGGAGCTCATTTTAATAGATATTAACCAGTCATCAATGTTTCATGAAAACTGCTCAAAGCATTTTTCAGTTATTGTCTGAAAACTGAAAAATCCCCACTTATTTATGAATAAAATCACATAACTTAAAATTGAAAATAGAAAGGGAGCTTACATCAATATATATATAAACATTAGATAATTCATCAAAGTTTCATGAAAATTAGTTAAAGCGTTTTTGAGTTATTGTCAGACATATTGACAAAGGACAGACGGACGGATGGACAGACAGACAACAGTATACCATAATACTTCCCTTAAACATTGTGAATACCTTTGAGAGTCAAAATGTTTCTACACCTTTTATCTCACAAGCAGTTATTTTAACTCAATTCAATTTATTTCTCATTTAAGAAATGGCTCAGCATTACATTACCAATCATTTCTTTGTACTGTCAAATGCAGGGGCAGACCCTGTATTGTTGAAAAAGGGGCATAATTGCCAATAAACATATATAATGCCTAACTATTTGTCATGTTTGTTGACCTTTATTACTGGACCCTGAACAAAACACATCACAGGGTAAAAAAAATCCTCATTTAAGGGCATTCACTCCTATAAAGACTGACACAGTCTACTATCTATACCAGCAAAATTTGACTTGTTTGTGGATCTTACCTTGCTGATCATTTTTGTTATTTAAGTTTCTATTTATTTATTATAATCTGCATCATAGAGGGCAAAACACAAAAAAATGTTAAAAATCATCTTTAAAGGGCAATAACTCCAATAAGGAGGGGTCAGAAAATTTCCTCCATATTCACATGGTATTTGTCTTAAATGTAGATCTTGTCTTGCTAATCATTTTTGCTCATTCAAGTTTCTATCTATCTATTATAATTTTTAAGAGATAAGGCAAAAACACAAAAAATTGGTAAAAATTGTCATCAAAGCATTCAAAGGGAATATTTATTCATGTTATTCATAGATCTTATCTTGCTGATCATTTTGGTAACTTTAAGTTTCTCTCTATCTATTATAGTTTTCAAGATAAAAGCAAAATTGAAAAAAAATGGTAAAATATGTCATTTAAGGTCAATAACTCCTATAAGAAGTCAGACAGGGTCATCAGACACATTTTTAAACTAGATACCTCAATGATGATTGTGGTCAAGTTTGGTTAAAGTTGGTTTCAGAGGAGAAGTTTTTTGTAAAAGTTAACGGACACCAAGTGATGAGAAAAGCTCACTTGGAGCTTTGGGCCAGGTGAGCTAAAAAGGAAACAAAATATATACCTGAATTCATATACTAACCTTCGAGCCATATTTACAATGCTTCCACCAGGTAACCCATGATGCACTGGAAACATTCCATATGGAGCTGACATAGCTGGTCCACCATAAAATGCTGGCCCCACTGCATTTGATGGTCCCATTGAAAAATTTGATGGTTGCATGTTACCAATGTTATTGTTCATATTTCCAGCCATGCCCATTTGTGGCATACTTTGATACTGACTTGAGGGGTTTATTGTCATATTAGGTGTAAAGTTTGGAAATGTATTGTTATTTTGTCCTATGTTGCTATTTCCATGTCCCATATGACTAACATTTTGATTGGTCATGTTTTGAGGCATTTGATTGGCCATGTTTTGAGGCATTGAATTAGCATTGACGAAACTCCTCGTTAGCCGTCTTCCATATGCTATATTTGCTTGATTAGAATTCTGACTAGATGAAGTGTTTCCAAAATTAGGAGTCACATGATTAAAACTTTGACTAGCTGTGGTGTATACTGCACTAGGATTAAAATTAATTAAGTTGTTAGATGTTCCGGCACCAGTAGGATTTGGTGCTGTGGCAGCCTGAGAGTTTGTGTGTCCAGATTTAAATTTTTTGGCAGGACTTGGACTTGTCCCAGAACTTTTTGCAGGACTTTTAGAAGAGTAACTTGTAGCACCATTACTACTTGTACTCGCAGTGGAAACTGAGGAATGTTGAGGTGGTGAATTCGTTCCATTTCCAGACATGCCTGATGGGTAAGCTAGCTTTGTGGTTGCTCTGCGAACTTTTCTGACACGTCCGGTTTCAATTCTTATTTGAATCATTTTGCTAAAATCTATATGATATGGAAGTTTCAAAGCCGATTTTGACAGGTCAAATATATTAGTTCGGGGAGTCTGTGAATAGTAATCTTCTATCAAGCACCCAACCTCCATGTCGTATATGTGCCACTGACCCCTAACATCCCCCTCCCACTGCCAAACAATGCCTTTTCCTGGTAGACTCGATGGAGGGTATGTGCTTCTTCTAATAGGCCTAGCTGTTCCTGAAAAAAAATAAAAGAAGCATAAGATTATTTTCATACTATAATTCTTAAATAGAAAACAGGAATTATTCGATAGTACATCCACCCACTCCTCCAAGAAAATAGACACACTCAAAAAACATATTTAACCCCGCCGCATTTTTGCGCCTGTCCCAAGTCAGGAGCCTCTAACCTTTGTAGGTCTTGTACGATTTTTAATTTTTAGTTTCTTTTATATATTTCGGAGTTTAGTATGACGTCCATCATTACTAAACTAGTACATATTTTTGTTTAGGGGCCAGCTGAAGCATGCCTCCAGGTGCAGGATTTTCTCACTGTATTGAAGACCCAGTGGTGGCCTTCGGCTGTTTTCTGCTCTTTGGTCGGGTTGTTGTCTCTTTGACACATTCCCCATTTCCATTCTCAATTTTATACAAACATTGTCAAATAACAAACATCATGTGTAAAAATTAGGTTTATTGTTTTTGACATGCTTTTAATATACTGCTTATCATCTAGCTTTACTTTTCAAAATGCAAATGTGTTAAGGATGTACACCTCTGAGGAGCCAAAAATTTCTAGAACTAAACTGTTTTCCTTAACCTGATTTTTGGGTTTATATGACTGTAAAAAAAAATCATATGGTGATGCACTGCTTTTTTTGCTACGGCCCTTTGAAAGTACCCAATTTTGATGATTTTCCCGTTTTTCATCAATTTTTACCTATTTTTGGGCTATTATCGTGAAAAAAATCACAGTTCCACAATTAAACTTTTTTTCATACTTTCAATAATGATGAAGTGGGCCAATTTGAATAAATTTAACTAAAAAAAACTATAGGTAGGTGTTAATATTAGAAATTTATATCATATTTTGATGCTTTTTTGTGTCAAATTTACCATGCTGTCAATTTTGTAAATTTGTGATTTTTCTCAGTTTTAAGAACAAAATGCATATTATTTCAACTTTTTTGTTATAAATGATTGAAAAAATCTAAGAAATCTGAAAAGAAAAATATGATATGGGATGTACATGATTCTAGTAAAATCATTTTTGTACCCCTCACCGTTTTTCTCAAAATTTTGGCTAAAAAGACTGACTTGATTGGTCGTAAAATTTAAAAAATTGATTACTCAAAAACTACTCATTGTAAATACACAATTTTTTCATAGAGTTAAGTTTAATTATAACATTTTTAAAATTCATTGATATTTTCCACTTGTATTACATGTTTTGGAAATAATTCAAGAACGAGATTTCAACGAGACTGAAACGTCAGAAGACTACATCCTGATTAAAGACATTGATGAAATGCAGCAATTTGCAGTATAAATCACAACTAGACATAGTCTGAAAAAAAGCTAAGCATTTTTGACCCCAAAATATAAAATGTGACAATGAGACAACTATCCAACTGAGTCCAAATGACATATATTTAAGCAATGTGTTGAATTTGGTCTCATATTTCCATTACCAACTGTATTATCAATGTGTTTGCTGCTTTGACTGTGTCTAATATGTATGACCTTGATGATTGTGGAGCTTGCCTGATGTTTGTGTCAATTATTCTGTGATATATTACTAACTGTAACAAGGCATTTTTAGCATTCAAATTCATCGTGTTCATTTGTCACTTGTTTTCCTAGTATTACAATGATGTTAAATCTCTCTGTAAAAGGTCACTGTCTGCTTGATTGGTGATGGTTTGAAAGTAGAAAGGAGGAAATCCATCTGTTTGTATAAGGGTTGATTCAGGAGTATTTCAAATACAGTGCAACCTGTCTAATCAGACACACTTAGGAGCCAGAGAATTGTGTCAGATTGTACAGGGTGTCGGAATACTCAGGTTTCACTTTTGAACAACACAAATATTTCCAGAATTATCGGCATATTGCTGGTTATAAAATTCCTTCTTTTTTAAAATATACTACACTGTTGCATGTCTAATCCCATAATTCTCGCCAAGTTGTTTTGGGGTTAATTTTGGAATTTTATCGGAGTCTTCAAATTTAACTTTTCGTCTAAACTTAATTTAAATCCACTCTAGCCCATTTTGGTAAAGGCGAAGCAGTCATTTTCCAAAATTCTCTTTTTACATTTAGGTGTCGTAGCCATGTTGTATAATACTTAAATGATTTTCACAAAGAAACTGAAAATAACTCACATTTAAAAGCTTTATCTTTCATATAGCATGTATAAGTAAACTTACCTGTAACCCTTAACAAGCCACAACTCACCTTCCGATCTATCATGTCTATAAATTTAAATGTACACAATCATGTCAATTTGATGGACGGTTCAGTGATCATGATACACATTAACACGTGATAATTATTTATTTCAATTTATGGTTTAGCAGATCAAAAGGTTGGATTAGACAGGATTAATTATGTTATAACTAATAACATCAGGACTTGAAAACACTTAGTGTCGGATTACGGAAGTGACAGATTTCGGAAAAAAAAGTTTATTTAACAAAGATTGTTATAGACATTTTTCAGGACAGGAAAATTTTGTCGGATGTCATAAGTTGTCGGAATACTCATATGTAGGATTAGCAAGTTGCACTGTAATGTAATAGGCAAAATCAAAACGAGTGATATCTACTTGACAGTTCCTTTTTAATTTTGATGTGATGTCTTCAATGGTTATGATAAGTTAAAGTACTCAAGATTGTCTTTGTATAATCTGTGTTTTGTGTTTATAGTAAGAATTTTCATCATGTTCATTTCTGTCAAACATGTCAAAGGAGACATTATACTGGTATGTACAATGCATTCCAAGACCAGTTTTGAAAAGGGCAATAGGGCAAATTTTAAATTGAATGATTTGTAGATTTACAAAATGGAAGATCTTTTAATAATTAGACCTGTGGAAAAAGGAAAACCCATACAAATAAACAGATTTAAGGGACCAATTTGCCTCCTTGTGCAGAATTTTTCACTGTGTTGGACTCATTGGTGGCCTTGGGCTGTTTTCTGCTCTAAAGGTTGTTGCCTCTTCTACTTTTGTCACGTCTACTTCTGAGTGACCACCGTCATCAGGTTGTGACTATTCTGTGCTCATGAATAATTTTGAAAGAAAGAAAACAGAATAAAGGTGTTGAACATATATTTAACAGTGAGGGTTAAAAACAAGTGACTATAGATTTAATTTATAGTCAGGAGCTACTTGAAGGATTAAAGACTACTGACAGATGTCAGTGAGTAGGGTAAATGTAAGGCATTCCAATCCATAATGATTCTTAAGATAGAATGATTCTTCCCTTGTTGTGGTGTAACATGATGGGATCGGGAAAGAATTTTGAGCCATATTTTTGGAGATTTTTTCTGGTAGTATGAGTAAGTCTCTTTTGACACATTCCTTGTTTCCAATCCCTATTCTAGCTCTTATGGCAAGAATTGTCAACCTACATGTATATTTGTTCCACCTAAAAGAAGTTCCAGTGGAAACTGTTATAAACAATGTCATAATACCTGTTCCTGTTGGAACAAATATTCTATACTATTTATTCCGTTAGGAACATATACTGTAATACTTATTCCTGTGGAAATAATATTCCAGAATATTTTTTCCATTTGGAACTTATATTATGAAGGAACTTCTATTTCGTGACAGCATGATGTCAAAAGGTTTAGAATGCACCTATCTTGTCTATATATGTTTAACCTTGGACTAGTCCCAGGTTTAACTAATGCTGTTATGTATGTACAAAAAAATTAACGGTTCTACACCTGTTCCAAGTCGTATCTGGCAAGTGGTGACAAAATCGATGGCGTATGAAGATAAGGAGCTGTCGGCTGCACTCAGGTTTACTTGATTAGAATTATTTTGATAGGCAATTTCTATGTATTGTGTAACGTTGGGTTCATATGGTCTCCACCGTCCAAATTCATTCATCCACTCCCAAACAATCACGTTAGTTGAGCCCTGTGACATCTTCATGATTGTTCGATATACCTCTAGACTTTTCAAAAGCATAAATTATCCCGAAAGGCGTTTTGTTTACATCTCGTTACTATGAGAACTATTTTTGTCTTCTTTTTCTACTTCTTCATAGATTTGTATTGAAATTGAAATTAATGTGCTTGGATTCAGCTGCAGATTCTCTCAACCGTAATTTTTGTCAAATTAATTAATGACATCCGGTGTCCTTTTACCCACAATTCATCGGCATTCTTGTAGCGAAGGAAAACCATCTGGATCGAAAATGTTGCTGCGACAGTTAACAACCAATTAAAGCTTAAAAACAGCATTTAAGCATTGGTGAAAATGCCATCGACGTGAATGTAAAGTAATTCATCGAAAAACCTCCCTCCTTTAAAATAACACAGTGCATAACTGATTTTTTTATAACGAATGTGGAGACCTTATTCATTTTTATAGTTCTGAAATTTGCTCTTTGTCATAATATGTCGCCAGAAAAATAATGTTGTGATGAAAGGTAACAGATCTTAAATAAAATTGTTTTTGTGAAGATACAAAGCAGGTCCTGAACATATATTTTAATTATGCCCCTATTTCAGTATTTGTAACGAAAAATAATGGCCCCTATGAAATATTCTATGCACATTATTTTAATTTAAAATTTTATTTTGAAATACTGTCCTGGACATGTTTTAATTACTTTGGGAAAGTTTGTCCATTGGTCGGGACAATATTTCACTGTGAAATGCTCTCCGTCACCATGATAACATTATTCTACCCTAGAATAATGGTCATGACAATATAGTGCTGTACATAAAAGACATGACAATTTTTCCTAATCAGATGTATGCCTTTCCCCCCGCATAACCTATGTCGCAATGCTTATGTTATTACCAAATTGAGGCAATCACAATAAGATACAATTGTTCTATGACGGCATTTATGCTGATTGACCTTGCGTCAGTTGGTGTAACTCATTCATAAAACCATCTTGAGATTAACAGAAAAACAAAGGCAATGGGGTATCCACCCATTACACAAATCCGGACATGCACAGCAAAAAAAACCCACAAAAAGCAAAGGAAAAGCGCTTTTATTACTGTTCTTCCTCTTAAAGTCACAGTGAAGCCTTCAACACAGCAAAAAAAAAATCTCACCTCACTGAAAGTATAAGACGGCCCCTAGCACCGGCTTAATGGCAATTCTTTCCAAAATTAAGTAACACCACCAAATTGGGCTCGATCAAAAAAGAACATACTGGAAAATAGTAAATATTTAAAAGAAAATAGTTCTTACACATAGGTGTAAATATCAAACTATGTTGAATATATGTTGGTAATTTACAGTACGGGTAGAGACTTATTACTATAAATAACGGACTGGGACATGTCGGAAATGAATAATCCGACTTTTTTATGGTAGGTAGTATGGTCATTAATCAACAGATCCAGGTGTGAACCGTAATATAATTGTCCTTTCATCTCAATCCGTGCTACAAGATTATTACGCTTCACTGATTTCAGAATCAGGTTACCTGTGATTTAAACCTCTCAGTCACTTTATTGATTAGTTCTACATCGTATTTGACATAAAATATTTTTACAGGTGAAGTACTCGAAACAACTTTGTTTTAATAAAAATATCCTATTTTTTTAATTATGGCTTTTTGTCGAGCCTTCGACTTTTGTCGAAAAAGCGAGACATAGCGATCCTACATTCCGTCGGCGTCGTCGTCGTCGGCGGCGGCGGCGTCCACAAATATTCACTCTGTGGTTAAAGTTTTTGAAATTTTAATAACTTTCTTAAACTATCCTGGATTTCTACCAAACTTGGACAGAAGCTTGTTTATGATCATAAGATTATATTCAAAAGTAAATTTTGTAAAAAAAAAATTCCATTTTTTCCGTATTTTACTTATAAATGGACTTAGTTTTTCTGCCAGGAAACATTACATTCACTCTGTGGTTAAAGTTTTTGAAATTTTAATAACTTTCTTAAACTATCCTGGATTTCTACCAAACTTGGAAAGAAGCTTGTTTATGATCATAAGATAGTATCCAGAAGTAAATTTTGTAAAAAAAAAATTCAATTTTTTCCATATTTTACTTATAAATGGACTTAGTTTTTCTGCCAGTTAACATTACATTCACTCTGTGGTTAAAGTTTTTAAAATTTTAACAACTTTCTTAAACTATCCTGGATTTGTACTACACTTGGACAGAAGCTTATTTATGATCATAAGATAGTATCTAGAAGAAAATTTTGATAAAAATATGTTCCATTTTTTCCGTATTTTACTTATAAATGGACTTAGTTTTTCTTCCAGTTAACTTTACATACAGTCTGCAGTTAAAGTTTTAAAAACATTTATTAGATTCAAAAACCATCCTGGATTTTTACCAAACTTGGACAGAAGCTACTTACAATCAAAAGATAGTATAGAGAGGAATATTTTTATTAATTTTTTTCCTCATTTTTGTTGAGCCTGCAATTAACAGCAAAAGTAGGCGAGACACTGGGTTCCGCGGAACCCTTACGAATTTTACTTATTGTATTTCAAATGCTGTTTATATTCCTCAAAATATTATTTTCTATGTTCCCTGTTTTTTTTTTTGTTATGTATCTTTTTCGTATTTGTTGGCATACAGTTTTTAAAATATTTTCTCTAATATCTGGAAGGTAATTTTTGTCGAGCCTGCGACTTTTGTCGCAGAAAGCTCGACATAGGGATAGCGATCCGGCGGCGGCTACGGCGGCGGCGGCAGCGGCGTTAGCTAACTTCTTAAAAGCTTTATATTTTAGAAGATGGAAGACCTGGATGCTTCATACTTTGTATATGGATGCCTCATGTTACGAAGTTTCCGTCAGTCACATGTCCAATGTCCTTGACCTCATTTTCATGGTTCAGTGACTACTTGAAAAAAAAGTTCAGATTTTTTGTAATGTTAAATTCTCTCTTATTATAAGTAATAGGATAACTATATTTGGTATGTGCGTACCTTGCAAGGTCCTCATGCCCGTCAGACAGTTTTCACTTGACCTCGACCTCATTTCATGGATCAGTGAACAAGGTTAAGTTTTCGTGGTCAAGTCCATATCTCAGATACTATAAGCAATAGGTCTAGTATATTCGGTGTATGGAAGGACTGTAAGGTGTACATGTCCAACTGGCAGGTGTCATCTGACCTTGACCTCATTTTCATGGTTCAGTGGTTATAGTTAAGTTTTTGTGTTTTGGTCTGTTTTTCTTATACTGTATGCAATAGGTCTACATGTGTACTATATTTGGTGTATGGAATGATTGTAAGGTGTACATGTCTAGCTGGCAGGTGTCATCTGACCTTGACCTCATTTTCATGGTTCAGTGGTCAAAGTTAAGTTTTTGAGTTTTGGTCTTTCTTTCTAATACTGCATGCAATAGGTCAGCTATATTTGGTGTATGGAATGATTGTAAGGTGTACATGTCTAGCTGGCAGGTGTCATCTTACCTTGACCTCATTTTCATGGTTCAGTGGTCAAAGTTAAGTTTTTGAGTTTTGGTCTTTTTTTCTAATACTATATGCAATAGTTCAACTATATTTGGTGTATGGAAATATTTTATGATCTATATGTCAGTCACGCAGGTTTTATTTGACCTTGACCTCATTTTCAAGGTTCATTGCTCAGTGTTAAGTTTTTGTGTTTTTGTCTGTTTTTCTTAAACTATAAGCAATAGGTCAACTATATTTGTTGTATGGAAGAATTGTTAGCTGTACATGCCTGCCTAGCATGGTTCATCTGACCTTGACCTTATTTTCATGGTTCATTGGTCAATGTTTAGTTTACTTGGTTAATGTTAAGTTTATGTGACAGTTGTAATAAAGCTTTATATTTAGGACTATCAACATAATATCAATGATTAGTAAAGAAGGCGAGACATTTCAGCGTGTGCACTCTTGTTGTTTTACTGATTTATTTTCCACGTAAACCCATTGATTAGCAGAATGATGTGCAAAGTGCTGCTGCATACGTTTTAGTTTGACAACACTACATTTGTATTTAATTTTCAGTCTGCGTTGGGTCAGTTCTGAAATAAAAATAATTACAGGGAGCAATACTTGTATACTAGTAGTTAGGTGATTCTTTATACATGTAATTGTGAATTTACTTTTTACTGTAAACAAATATTGTCCGAAAGTTGGTGATATATAACTAAAGTAGTACGCAAATAATAACACTAGAAGAAGATAACGATATTTCTCGGGGATTAGGTTTATTTTGATATTTCTGTGTTTGTTAAATATGCATGAAATAATTGCCACTGACATGAATGGACATTAAAACTAGAAGCATTCAATCATTTGATAACCAGTTAATTAAATATTTACTATGATTTGTAGTCTTAAAGAAATGCAATTTCGCCTATTTAAATAATTTTATGGTGCTGCATTGACTCTTAATTGCATAATATTAATTTACGCACAATGCATGTTAACTTGTATGTTGTATTTTTGACACCAATCTAAAAAAAATATTTGCCGTGAAAAGACAATTCCATGATACACTTATCAGTGATCAACAGCATGTGGTTGAACTTTGAACTTGACTTCACTCACAATACAATGTTGAATGCTAAAAATAGCTGGGATTAATTTTGTCAAATGCACGTGATTTTCATATGGCGGGAAATATCGTAACAGTTAACACAGGTGACCTTACTGACCGACCGTGGGAAAATCCATTCATGATTTAATTTGATACGTAATGATTGGCAGTATTGTGCATTAGTTTTGAGGCTCATGATCGAGATCCATTAATAATTGATTTACCAGAATAGAAAATTTAATCCTTGTAATTATAAACAAAACAAGCTTTAGTCTTCTTTAACTATTTTATTTATTATATTTATTAGTCAACACCCAGATTCCTATTTAAATAATTTTCGGACACCTCCTTTAAAGTTCGGGAATTATACAATTTAAACTGCCGACATCGATTTACAAAATCTTACTGACAGTGCACGAGCTTTAGAGAATGGCTAGAAATACGACGCAAAAGTAAAGACAGCTGATCGTGAATAGTGTAAGACTTTGATCTTCATGTATTGATTGACACAATTCGTAAAATATGTTTATAAAAAACACGATTTTCATTAAAATTTCAAACATGGAAATAGAAAGGCAATATCTTTGTTATAATACAACGAGTGTCAACAAATCTCTTATTTCCATTATATGTAAATTTATTAACAAACAAAATTTAAAATAATGCTGGATCATAGAATATTGACGTGCATATGAAAAGTTTTTTTTATATAAAAACTAGGAATCGAAAGATGATCACTGCGTTATAAATATTGTAAAAAAACAATTGTTTCAAAGAGATTAACGGGAAATATATGTCAAAATAGAAAGCACGGATGATCTGGCTGACCAAATTGTTTTACTTGCGAGAAATGATTGACAGGTATGAATAGACGTAGAGGCTCCGACGGGGAACGTGGTATCGTAAGGAAAAGAACAGTTTATTCACAATGCCTATATTCAATTTGTTTATATACTTTATAAATATGATATGTTGGCCTTATACTTAAAATTGTGTTTCTATTAATAACTTTAAGGAACAGGACGTTAAAAGGGGGAAATATTGTAACCATCAACGAAAACTCGTATAATTTACGGGATTGATGTCTCAACATTTTGATTAAAACTTTGATTGAAAACAGTCCTGGTTGTTATAATTTTGAATAAAATGAAATATTTACGGTTTACAAATACAAATAGTTTATTGGCACAAACACAATTATTATAATTGGCAACACATTTTACAGTATGTACATTGTTAAAAATCGTCTTTCTTTCATTTTCAAGTTAAAAAAAAGTTGATCCCATATTCATGATATTACATTTTTATTTTTATTGTAATTTTTTCTTTGAATACAAAACAATATTTTACATTTATTATCTATCCTCCATAAATACTAAAATATCTATACAGGTAAAATTTAATTCTAATCAACCTGGTACAGATTGATTTACGACCTTCCACTCGGATATTGTACAGGTTAATATCACAGCAGGTGTCAATTACACTGAGACAACTGTCCAGCCAGTCTGACATCTAGACGGATTAAGACATCCATAATAATAAGTCTCTACCCATACTGTAGGTATCAAATAAAAGGTGAAGGACTGGTGATCCTTGTAGAACACATTTTGAATAATACAAAAAAGTATGAATGCATTTTAAAATTGAGGGCATATATTGCCTGTTTCTCAGATACCTGATTTGGTGTATTCAAAGTTCAGGTAACATGAGTACAGTCTTATGTGTAAAAACGGAATTTGATCCATTAGTTTATTAAGTTTAATCAATTATGCAACCAGATCAATAGTTTCAGCATCTCACCATGGTGATAAACAAACCCAAGTTAAATAAATACAGTTATATTCATCAACAATAATTATCTTTCAACCCAAGTGAACTCCTTGACAAATTAGTTCATAAAATGCTGTGAAATCTTCCGTCTAGAATTTTGAACCTGTATTATGACATTTGCATTGTGCAATTAATACATTTCGAAGAAAAATAAAATGCAGGGTTAATGAAAAAAATGTTCCCATTTACCCATTTTATGACATGTCTGGATAGCGTCTCCATCAGCCATTGTCAGAATGATCTGGAAGGAATTACAAAATCCCAGAGAGTTTACTGGTTCATGTATGTGGTTTTCTTTATTTGTAACGTTGTTGAGCATGTAAGGAAAACTTGATTAACATTCTTATATATATAAGTGTTCATAGTTCTGAAGCCGTTGACGTACGTCTTAAGAATGAAAAATGAAACTGAAATATTTGTGTATATCATGTATATGATTTGATCAATTTATGTCATTTTAGTTTAAACAGTTTACCTGCTAGCATAAACACCAATCACCATGACGTCTGAAGCTGCAATACACAAAAGAAATTTAGATAGTGCCATCTTGTTTATGCAGCAAGAACATGCAGAAACTTTAAAGGGCTTACACAAGGAAATAGAAAATCTTCAGAAAAAATGTTCAGGTAAATTTGAATTAAATTAAATAGAAGAGAGTACTCTTTCAGTCGGCCTAATTGGAAAGTTAATAAGGAAAGAATTATTTTTTTGTTTACAATCCAATGTGTTCCATGTTTGTTTTCTAAAACTACTTGGCCAATCATTTCAAAACTTTACCTGAATGTTCCTTAGGGAATCAAGTTCTGTGTATTTGATCCATCAAGAAACATGGCTAAAAGTTGAACATAATTGTATAAGTAGTAAGAGCAAATCTGAAGTTGGTGAAATTCAAATATCAGACAATGCATTTTTGAGTTATTGCCCCTGAAATGTAATTTTTTAGCAAATTTGACAGTTTTTGGTTATCATCATGAAAACTGTGTACAATTATAGATAGACAGAAACTTTTAATACTAAAACTGATCAGAACAATAAGATCTACAAATATGTTGACATGGCCGAAAGTGTCGTTTGACGCCTTTTACTGGAGGAGTCATTGCCTTTGAAAGACAATTTTTTTTTGTGTTCTTTGCAGAAACTATATAATTAATGGGTAAATTGTAAATAGCAAAGATAAGATCTACAAATATAAAGTCAACATAGCTGAAATTGTCAATTGACTCCTTAAAGGAGTTAAATGCCCTTTACCTATATGATTATCCATAAAACTATAATAAACATTTTGAAAAGAACTGTAAAAAACAAAAATTGATCTGCAATACAAGATCTACAAAAATGCAAAAATTACAGAAATCAATTGATGAAACCTACTCCTAGTAAAGTTTCAAGTTTTGAGCTTTTATTTAAAAAACAAAAAAAGATGGGTACAAACTATAAACATTAAACATGTTAAAATTTGTCAGGTGAGCGAATCATGCCTGTATGAGCCTCTTGTTATTCGATTGAAAAGATGAAAAAAAACTCTTCAAGCAGGCATCTGATTATTTATTGGGCCAAATAAAAGTATATGTGTGGTTCCAGTTACCCGACCGACCCTACTTTAAACCCCCCGACCCTAGAAATTTTTTTTTCCATTTCTGAAAAATAATTTTCGAACGATCCCATTTTGAGGAATGTGAATGTCAATAATTAAATTCACAGACTTATTTCATCAGAATTTCCATCAAAGTATCCACTACGGCTAAAAATGCAACAAATTCTTAAAAGAATGCAACAAAATTAACTAAAAACATAACATATCTGTTTATTTTTACAACCAAACGTATAGAAAATGGATAACTTCCTGTAGGGACGTGTATAATACTGGAATTCAACTCAGTGAACACACAATTTTTTTCCGGATTTTAACAATAAAAAAAAAAAAAAAAAATTAAAAAAAATTGCCAACCTACAGTACAACCTGTGACTTCCTCTTAGTTATGTCCACCCCCTTGTATGGTCACCATCGAATGGTGGCCATTTATTGGGGTATTCAATCTTGAGATGTTGGCCATTTATTGGGGTCATAAAACATAGGTTGATGTTTTATCTAATTATGTTACCTGTTGAAATCAAACAGGGTTGAAGTTTTCAGCTTGTATGTTTCATTAAAATTTACCTGTACAGGTAACTCAGGTTTCTTCTCAAATTTTCACACACCTTTTCTTGAAAATGTAGAATAGAATGTTGTTTAAGTCTTTGTTAATTCATATTATTTGTTGATTTTTCTGTCTTTAAATTTACATATTTTCCTTTTTTTCTAATGTTTTTATTTTTTTATGTTATTTTTTATATTTTATTTGTTTTTTTGCTTCTTAATCTTTAAATTTTTCTTGGAAAGAATCTTGAGTAGAAATGACAAAAATTCAAAGATAAGTTATTGACTAGCATTTGAAAACAAAACAGAGAATCCTTTAAATAAATATTTTTTCAGTAAAAAAAAGTTATTGTACATGATGTACATGGTATTCATCTGTTCGTTTGCATTATTAAATGAATTATTATTAATTATAACTTATAATTATGCAAATGATATGTTTAAAGGAACCATGAAGCAAGTAATTTAACAAGCCTGTTTCTTAACAAATGAAAATTATCAATATCATGAATATCAATCCTTTTACAATAAATTTTGTCAACAAAGTTGTACAATCTATTATCATGATTATTTTTTCAGGAAAACTACAAATATCATTATATGGTATAGGAATAAACTATTTTTGTTTTATCTTTTATATTTTTCAAATCTCAAAACTGGAGTTGTGCATGAAAAATCACTAAAGAGACTTAAATTTTCCAAATGGCTAACTAGTTATCATCAAATTTTGATAAATGCTAATCATAATGAAAAATGTTCTTATCTCTGAATAAAGTAAATCTTATGAAAAGAAATTATTTAAAGAAAAAATTGTCTTGCATTTTGAAACAATTGTAAATTCAAATATGTTATCTTCAGTTTGGCTAATATTGTCAGTTAACAGGCAAAATTTGTCTCCAGAAAAAATGAAGTACACTTCTATATGGATTGTGACATTTTTATGGTCTATTAATTAAGTCGCTTTTTGTTCTGTGTATTATATTGTCGAAACTGCAGGACTGGCATATGCATGATACATATTCTTGGTATACATTTGCAAAGAATATTTCACTCAACTCAGGCCTTTTAGATAAAGTTAATAATTGCAGGGACTTGAATGAATTAGATTCTTTAAAACCCTTGATTAAAAATGAACTTTAAGAAAAAAAATAAGAATATTTTTGAAAATAAAATAAAAACTTATGATGAAAACAGTAAACTCAAATGCTTCACTAAGTAAAGAATTAGTGGTCATAATTTAGAAATAGAAAATTGTGGATAAAAATTCCTATAAAGGATAGAATTGTTTGTAAAATTAACATAACAACTTAGAGATAATCTATTTGCAAATTGTTTACCTTCTCATAATAATGTCTCTGACCAGTTTATGAATAAAATCTTGAATCTTATGAATAAATTCTTAACCAAGAACAAAAAGTAAAAGAAATAATAAACCTCTACAACATGGAACATGTAAAAAAAGTCATTAGATCTGAGGGCAGAAACCAAAAAATTTCATCATGTGTTTTGATTTCTTATAGAAATGTTATTTCTTTGCATTATAATGTTTGTTTTTGGTTGTTTTTTTTTGTCCAAAACTTGATTTAATTGTAATATGTTTATATGACAATAAAAATATTATTAAATTGTTCTGTAATGATTATTTTGAATATACATGTATTTATTCAATAGCGAAATAATGAATTGCCTAAATTTTATATAAAATAAGTCCTAAAATAATCTTAAACATTTGTTAAACAATGTTAAATGCAGTAAGTATAAACAATTTTGATTTTAGAAAATTAATTTGAGAAACACCTTTTCGATGGAAAAAGGCAGGATGAAAGTTTGCATAAATTAGAAGATGGTATTCATTTATTATTCACTTGCCAAAAAATACATATAAAAAATAACTTAAATTGACCGAATTATTTAAAAGGTATAACATTAAAACAAACAGTCATGAGAAAATTTTTACAAAAAAAAGTTAGGAAGCTTTATTTTCAACTAGTTTTATTATTTCATTTTATTTTAGAATTTTCTTGTCATAATCACATTTATTAAATTTGACAAACACATATATTTTACCTGAGACACTTTAGCTGTAAGTTATATAATTTTAACACTTCAATGCAGTCATGATTTCCCTTTATCATTGACAAGTTTTTGATTAATACCTTGTGTATTAATTAAGCAACAGGAGGTATAATGATGGACATTTAGGGCCATCATGGTGACCATATTTTTTATGGCCACCATTAATAAGATAATGTCACAGGTAGTACTGTACCTACCCTATTTTTTTCAGGATGTAACTGGAACCACACATATACTTTTATTTGGATGCATCCAAGCATGAAAGGTGTACATCTAATTTCATTTCTCCAGACTTTATAATGCACTCATACGCATATTTTAATCATGTTACTGTAATACCATCATTACTTGATTTCTTTATTTCAGAGTTAACATTTCAGTTGAACATGCAAGGAATAGGAGCAGATTTTCTAGATCCAGGTAAATAATTAACATATATGATTATTAAACACTTATTTAACATTGTTGAAGAAGTGTCCATTGTGTACTGAGATTTTGTCAGTTTTCCAAATTAAAACATGCCTAAATATTCCAGATCAGTTTTTTTTATATGAATTATATATTGAAACACATAATATATTCAAAAATACTGGACACTACTAATTTGAAATTTCCTTTGCCCTGCACACAACTGCTAAAGTTGTTCACTGATTTGTTGCTTTAATGTTAGCCATTAATATATTAACTGCAAAATACATATTATTTAAAACCAGAAGTGTGTTGTACTGTCAAGTCTCAAATTCTGATAATCTTATTTGTCCGATCTAATATTATGTTAAACATGTTAAGTGAGCAAATTACTGGCCAGAATTCCATCTGCATTTGTGCATTTATCTTAGATATAACAAACTACGCATATTGAACACATAAAACCATTTTTGCAAAGTTCCATCATTTGATGTTAGTACTATTCCATTTTTTCACAAATCATCTCTCCTGAAATTACTGAATCAACTTGGTGTGAAAATTTTTAACCCTGTTTTCTTTAAACTAAATGGAGTTGTTTTTTTCTGGCAACACATTCAGTGCTCCAGGATTTTTCACTCATTCCAAGGAAAAGTGATGGTAGAAAAATCGCTTTCCTACATGAACATTTCAATTTCCCATATTTTGCAAAAAGTACTTAAAATTCCTAAATATTTTATTTTTATAATGCTTTTTGTCTCGCCTTGATGGAGTGGAAAAGCCAGACATAGGTATGCTGTTTCCGGCATCTGAGGCGTCAACAACAATGTATTAGTTTGTGATTAGGTCTAATTTATGGTGAACCACAAGTGGTAGGTCAATGATATTTGGTATGCAGTTGTTTTCTCATTGGCACATCTCATTTCCATGGAGATTATTTGGCCCTGCTCCCTCAGTCATGGTCTATTGACTTTGAAACTTTTGCTTAGTTTACATGTATTAGTTTGTGATTAGGTCAGTTTATTGGGAACCACTAGTGGTAGGTCAATGATATTTGGTATGCAGTTGTATAAGCATTGGCATATCTCATTTCCATGGAGATTATATGGCCCTGCCCCCTTAGTCATGGTCTGTTGACTTTGAAACTTTTGCTTAGTTTACATGTATTAGTTTGTGATTAGGTCAGTTCAAGGGGAACCATTAGTGGTAGGCCAATGTTAATTAGTATTCAGTTGTATAAGCATAAGCACATCTCATTTCCATGGAAAATATTTGTCCCTGCCCCTCAGTCATGGTCTATTGACTTTGAAACTTTTGCTTAGTTTACATGTATTAGTATGTGATTTGATCAGTTTGAGATTAACTGCTAATATTAAGTCAATGATATTTGGTATGCAAATTTATTGGCATTTGCAAGTAATGTTTCCATGGAGATTATATAGCCCCACCCCCTCATCATGGTTCATTGACTTTGAAACTTTTACATAGTTTACAAGTTAATGTTTGTGTTTAGGTTTGTTTAAAGGGAACGACTTATAATTAGTCAATAGTATTTGGTATGCAGTTTTATTAGCATCGGCACATCTCATTTCCATGGCCTTCAGTCATGGTTCATCTACTTTGAATATTTGCATAACTTGCATGTTAAAGTATTGCTGTTTTGATTTCAACATTTGCATTATCAAAATTACAAAAAGGCAAGACATATCTCTGTGATAACAGTTTATTGTTGATTTAGAAAAAACAATTCTGCTATAAAAATTCCCTTTTTGACACAATTGTGCACTAGATTGTGTCTATCCCGACATCGTTCCCCTATCTACAATGGTAGCAATACACAGTTAGAAGTTTAGTTTGGCATTTTGGCCATAGTGTATTTTTTAAATATGAAAGTTTTTGTACAATAAAATTGATTTTAAGATAGTTGAAGAATAGTATAGCCTTCCAAGTGGGTTTATATGAACCTCTAGATTGTTTTTAGCATGTTTTATAGGCAACTTTTCTGTTTGACAATCCGTATTTTCACATCCGTACCGCCCCTAGGTCCAGAAATTATTGTAGAATTTATCAACAAAGATTTGACCCTCGATCTTTTCAATTCAATTTTATGGAAAAAATGAGCAGAAATGCATATGATTTTTTTTTACCTCTTGATAGATAAATGTCTATAGTTTCAGGAAAGGTATCACTCTAATGGATTGAAATTCTCCTTTGGACCAAATTTTGGAGACTTTTGTGACATTTTCACCCCCCTTTTTGCAATATTTTGTATCAAATAAATGCAGATTGTTGCCATGGTTACACCAAAAAGAGATTATATTTCACCATTATAACTATTGGAAATCAAATCTATGGAAGATGCTCTTTCCATAAATATACACATGCATAACACAAATATAAACCCTTATTTGTTAGAAAGGAAGGAAAAGAGGGTGGTGAAAAATTTTGAGTGTCAATTTTAAGTATTTTTCCTAAGGGTGTATTGCTACCAATGGTTTTTCATTTTGGATCATTCAGGATTTCAAATGATTCTCTTTAAAACCTAAACTAACATGAGACATGGTGAAACTAAGGCAACAGTAGTTGACCTATGTTTAAATCTGGTAAATCAACTCGTAAGAGACATGGTTAAAACCATAAGAAATACTGAAAATTCTCAAAAAATTATTAGAGCCCTAGAACTTTTACAGAAACAAGAGGACGGGTGTTGATTATCAGTGGGTAAAGGTGGGTCACAGATTTAGATATTAAATGAATTGCACATTTTCTATGGGCTTGCCTGCGGACTTGGCCAAAGCCACAAAATCAAATATCAGCGAAAAATGTTTTCATCAATCCATGAAAATTGATACCCACCAAAATAAATGAATCCACAGTATATGTATAAATAATGTAGTGTATGCACCATTCAGACAAAAACCCAAGATATATTTTAAAGCCAACATACAGTCTTCAACAATAGACAGGTGTCATACACTACAGCTTTTCCAAGTCTGTCAAAGGTATGAATAAATTAAACAGAAAGAAATCATCAACATAAAATTCTCCAAATGCCTTCTTTAGACATGTTAAAAAATAATAGTCTAGAAATCTAAAATCCAACAAAAAAATTTCCGAAAAACCTTTACCCATTAATGTTTTGAAACAACACTACAAGGAGTTCTTTTTTATTTTAAGGTTTTGAGCAATATTGAAGAGAAATGATTTATTTAGAAAATTCATGTATGTGATGCTCACACAAGGGATGTTTTGTTAACCTGCAGGTGTGTAATATAGGCTGTTATGTAGTTCATTGTAGTTCGAGAAATGTTTTCATCATTACTCTTTTTTTAATAAATTTCAGGTTCAAATTCAAAATTGACACAAGTAGAAGACAATCTCAAGATACAAACCCAAAAGTCAAGACAACTCGAGTCAGAAATTGAGAAGAAAGATAAGCATATCAAAGACTTTGAGATCTCATATAAAAAACAAAAAATGAAGTTTTTAGACGAAAATCGTAAAACTTCTCAGGAAATGGACAGACTTAAAGCAGAAAATGAATCAAAAGCTAATCAAGTAGCCTATTTAACAAGTGAGCTCCACAAACTTAAAAAATTACAATTAGAACACAGTACTGAGAGAAAAGCATTTGTTGCTGAAGCTCACAAATCTGGGACCAAGGCTTATGTTTCAGAAGCTAGAATATTGCCAATTCCGCCAAAAGAACCAGTGACATTAAAGATTAGAAGGGGTAATATAAGAGCTGTTAAACCACAAACAAATAAGGAAGACCTTGAAAGGCATCCATTAAGAGTAAGCTCTGGAAGTTCAAGCACAAGGTCGGAATCACCAACCATAGAAAAGGCCAAACAGTTTTTACGACCAGAACGTGAGCCTTCAATAGAAGTTAAAGAACGACATCCTCTTCCACCTATCAGATCCGCTCCAGGAGAAGAAAGAAGCCATTCAAAACATGTTTATTTTCAAAAGATGACGCCAGAGGCACATCAATCACGAGCAAAGACACACAAAGTCAAAAGGAAGGAACAAGAAGTCAAACTTCTCGCGGTTGACAAGGTGTCAGATCAATGGGCATCACGAGCTCAGGAGTCACACAGTTCAGAGTACAACTGATCTATAGTCTGTCCAATTTAATGTTTAATATTATACAGCCTGTCTCATATTACTCTGAACACATTGGCTATATTCTGATTTTAATATGAATGTTGATAAGTTGTTAAGAATCACTTGTTTTATTTGTCTTATGTTTTATTTCCACAGAATGGTGCATTTTAATTGTGTTTATGTTTTAAACATGTTAAACTTTGTAGAGAAACAAAAGATATCTTCTCAATTGGCTATTTTAGAATCTCAAGTATTCACGGTTATATTTTCAGAATCGTACATCAAAACAGTGTTCACAACATTCGATAGTCAGCCAATGGCTTAATACTTTTTTCACTTTGGTGTTATTTCTCAAAGACCTTTTAATTCTGAAATGGTGAATTTATTTTTATATAGTGATTACACTTTCAATTTTTTTTACAAAGCTATATGTTACAAACCTCAATACTATGAAAATCCTTGGTTGAACTCTTTTAAGAGTGTTTTCCTCTGGTTGATAAAACAAATATAAACAAGGTGCCTCATGATGGTGATATTTCACAGTAACTGCTGTTGATTGTTGGGTGATCACACTGAAATATTTTTGTTTTCTTCCTACTTAGATATTTAAGACAGTGTTCGATATCATTTGTTAGATTGTCATTCCTGGTTACCAGATTGATTTGATAGAACTAATAAATGTCTTGAAAACTCTCAGAAAGAACAAACATATTGTGAATTTGAAATAAAAATTCTGAATAGCAATATTTATTTCTGGTTTTTATACAGCTATATTTATTTCTGGTTTTTATACGCAAAATTTTGACGGGACGTATTATGGTATACAAATGTTCGGCGTCAACATGTCGCACCATAACTTGAGAACGACTTATCCAAATTTCATGAAACTTAAGACGGTTGTTTCTTATGATGGTCAAACGATCTGTATACTTTTTGGTGAAAATAAGATTAAAACTTTTTGAGTTACAGGACTTTGTAACTAAAACAGGGGGGTGTTTTTTTCACATGTCGCGCCGTATCTCAAAAATGATTTATGATTATTGCTTGAAACTTTACACACTTCTTAGTTATATTAATCTTAAGATCTGTATACTTTTTGGTGATGATTCAAAATTTTATTTTAGAGTTATTGAGTTTTTTGTAAAAAAAATGGGGGAGATTTCACATGTCGTGCCGTATCTCAAAAACGATTTATGATTATTGCTTAAAACTTTACACAATTCTTATTTATATTAATCTAAAGATCTGTATACTTTTTGGTGATGATTCAAAATTTGATTTTAGAGTTATTGATTTTTTTATAAAAAAGGGGGGTTTTCACATGACGCGCTGTATCTCAGACACGATTTATGATTATTGCATAAAACCTCACACACAAGACAACGGGTGTATCATGAGTTCAAGGTGCAGCTTTTTATTAGTAAATATAGTGAACTATTAAAAATATCAAAATTATAAGTCATTGAGTTCTGCAAAAAAAAGTTTTTTTTTTGGAAAAACTTCCGTCTAGCCTATACATCATGTATTTAAGGAACTTTTGTAAAGAATTTTTATTTTTATAGGATATGTTCGACATACGACATATCATAATTATCATACAAATCCAGTAAGATCTAATCACAGGAAATAAAATCTAACGAAAAGCATTGTGCTAGTCGTAAAAATTATACATGATGTTGTGAAGAAAATTTTGTACTGAATTTTTATTTTTATTGGATATGCTCGACATATCCTTATTATCATACAAATTCAGTAAGATCTAAAGCAAGGAATTCTTTAGGAAAAGTTTTGTGTTAGTTGTCAAAATTATACATAATGTATTGAAGCAAATTTTGAACAGAATTTGTATTTATATTGGATGTGTTCAGCATATCATTATTACCACACAAATTCAGTAGGGTCTAAAGCAAGGAATTCGATATAAAAAGTGTTTTGGAATTATTTTTTTGGAAACCAGTTTTTTTTTATTGAGACTTGTACATGTTACAGAGTGTTTTATAAAAAACTTTCTGAAGACAAATTTTTGTTTTAGATAATTATTTTTGTTTGTGGGCAGTTTCTAGGTAAAAATTATGGAGGAAATTATTTTTCTTAGTCTATATGAAATATTTTAGTCTTAAAGGTTATTTTGAAGGTCTTTGTTGATGTGTAAATTTTGCACAGTCTCCCACACAATCTAAAGATGAATGAAGTCTGGAGGACTTTATAATTTGGACATTTTTCAGGCTGATTGAATCGGACAAGTTTACACATTGATCAATTAACTTAATTTTTTTCCAAAAATATTCCCATGGCAATTGATATCATACAAAAATTGAAAAACACATAACTTAAATTATGTATGACAGTAATTTCAAGTTGTTCCAAGTAAAAACTAACATTATTGAGTATTGATTTCCATGGTGTAATTTGAACTTACATGTGGCCTTGAAATCTACAATTTTTATGAAGATTAAAATTGCCAAATGTTTAATGTGTGTTCTAGTTGTCGTAAATAATGTGTTCATAATCATTACAGTGTAGAAAGCCATATTGTAGCTTAGCTGGTCCAAAAGGGCTAATCACTTTAGCTGGTCCATAAGGGCTAATCACTTAAGCTGTCCTTAAGGGCTAATCAGTTTTATCAAGTATTTTTGTAAGTTCAGTGCCAGTTTTTCGCAATAATGAATTATTGTTTTTTGTTAATAACACTAATTAATTAGAATTCAAAAGGTCTGATTTCTGTATGTCTGTATGAAAAGCTATGCATGAAAATGGAAAGCAGATTTGAAATCAGACATGGGTAATTTATAAATTTTTAAAATATAAAGACAATTACATGGAATATACATGAGAGATGGTCTTGGAGAGAATATTTTATAAAAATCCTTAAATTTTACCAAATACTTAAGTTACCTTTTGGTACACAAACATATTTTAAGTCCAGAATTTTTTTTCTAGATATTCAAGAATCCAGTGCCGTCCTTTATTCTGTTTTTTGTTTGTTTTTTGTCATTCTGTGATAAACCTTTTTTGTTAAAGATTTAAGTATACATGTATTTACTTTGTCATTTTTTTTTCACAATTTCTTCTCTGTGATGAAGGAAAATTAGCTTGTCTTAATACTTGTGTTTTGCTTCTTAGGGCTGTTCCAAAAATAATTGATTGGAGGGGTTCAGAAGGCTATTTTTAAATTAACCCTCCGCCATGCATCAAGTTGTAATTGATTTTTTTTTCCATATTTGTCCAGGCTATATTTCTAGGTCACTAAAATAATCACCATACATCAAGTTTTAAATGCAGTGCCTTCTGATCCCCTGCATACAATACATTTTGGAACTGCCCTTTTATTATACTGTAACTGAGCATGTCTAATATATGTCTAGTTCAAAGTTCACCTTTAACATATAATTTACTTTTAAAGAAATGCTTTTGCTCAATAAGTCCAAACACGACTTCTTTAAAATTATAACTACCTGAACAATTTCATTTATTCAGACATTGTGCTTGTATTTAGATTTGATGCTAGTTGAAGTCCGACTTCAGCAAGCATTTTAAAATAATTACCATTTGAAGCACAACTGTATATAAAGTGACACATTTGTTGCAAAGATAATACTGATGTGGTATACATTAGTTTAGGAAGAAACTTCAACAGCAAATAATTCTTGAAATACTTTGAGTTTTATATAAAAAAAGCAAAGAAAAAATAGAAAAAATTTATTTATTAAGTCTTGTTATATTTAAAGAGTTGTGTAATTTGTGATACTTTTGTAATTTATGTGTTTTTTTTATTAATACTATGGCACTTTACGAACAAAATCTAATAAAATGTTATTTAAAAAATTTGTTTGTCATTATCTGCATGTGTTATAAAAACTATATCCAACCTTCTCTAGCAAATATTGAGCTGATTTTATGGTAAGAAGGTAGTGCTATTTGGGATTTAGTGACTGACACTTGATCTTTTGATGTTAAACGACAATCAGTTTTGTTTTGTGACAGACATTCCATGGATTTCAGTATCTGAACAGTTTGACATCATTGGTCTGCTTTCAGTATACATATCAAAAATGAATGTCATCTGTTTTCAGGCTATTTGTATGCTCCAGAATGGAATTGAATGAGGTTAAATTAATATTTTGTTCTGCATATTGATAAAGAAATCACAAATATCTGTTGCCTAGAGGTAAAATTAGTCTGTTTTGACCTTTAAAAGGCATCATTGATCTTATGAATAGCCAATGAAAATGTCATGATATCATAACACATATAGTAGAATTAACCAAATTAATGCATTCTTAGTATCACTTATTCATACCACACACTTTATTCAGTCTGATTCAGGAAATGTCTGGTTAGCAGGATAAATTACAGGCCATAACTGTAAGAGAATGTTAAGTTACAACTTAGATATGAGATTTATTTTCTTAAGATATTTTTGTTACAAAGACACATCCAACAGAAAGAAATACAGGTTGTCCATCTATCAGTCTGTCCAGTCTTGAGGTACAATTCTTGTCAGAATTTATGAAATTTATACCAAAGGTTTATATCAGCAGCATCTGAAACAAGTATGAAAATCAGTGTCATCAATTTTTAAGAATTCCGCTCCTTGGAAATATTGCAGTTATAGCAAATTGCATTGAAAACGATCTCACTTGTACAATTATTTTGTACTCCAGTCATGCTACAGTGGTTCCCTATATAATCAACCAAATTTTTCCCATAAAAGGGGGGGGGGGGGGGTGTAAAATGTAAAAAATAGGGGTACAGAAGTCAACATTCTGTTATTATCTTAATCACTGTAAAACAAACAGTTATATAAACAAACATTTACCATGTCACAATAGCACTGACGGGATGTATAAGTACAGAGCCACGTCACATGCAAGAAAGAAACACGAAAAGGCACACAGACAAAGCACATTAATAGAAACGAAAGACAAGAATACAGAAATTATCAGAACAATAACACAATGACAGGATGTATAAGTACAGAGCCACGTCATATGTAACCTAGAAACACAAAAAGACATACAGAAAAAGCATAGATGCAAAAACGAAAGACAAGAATACAAAAATTATCATAGAACAATAACACAATGACGGGATGTATAAGTACAGAGCCACGTCAAATGGATACCACCAAAAGAACAGACTAAACAGTAAAAGTAATATTCTTAAAGACTAATAAAAGAATACTAAAACACATTATTAGAATGATAAACAACGTCAGTACCCAGAATCTATACTTCAAGACCACCGTGTATAATTTGTGAAGTTGATACGGAATATTTATCAACAAGGTCTTAGTACCTTCTGGTAAAAATTTTTAGAGAAAAGGACGAGACATTCTTCGACATAACCCTTTTTCAACAACTTTCTGCTCAGACAGTGGTGGCGTTTTACTAAGTCTGCATGTTCTTGCATACCGAATAATTTGGGAAATGTATATCCCATATGCAGGTAAAGTTGGTATATTGCTACTAAGGATGGGGAAATTGATAATTTCTAAATTAAAATCGTCCCGATTGTCATAGATTCTGGTACTGAGATGACCGTGTATGTCAAATTCGAGGTATAAGTCTAAAAATGAGGCGGAGGGAGCCGTGTCTGTTGTTTCTTTAATTTCCAATTATGGGGGATATATTAATGGAACCCAATCAGAAAAGTTTGGATTATTAATGGAAAGAACATCATCAATATATCTGAATGTGAAATTAAATGACCTGGCTTCTTTGATCTTCTTGTTTTTGACAAGTGTCCGAAGGAACTCCGATTCATATGAAAATAAGAAGAGGCCGACAAGGAGAGGAGCACAGAGGCGCACAGTTCGTTTCCATAGGAATGCCGACAATTTGTGGAAAAAGTCTACCTCTAAATTCAACAAATATGTTGTCAATAAGAAACTCCGGCATACTGATCACTTGTTCCTCTGTGTAACATGTTTTACCTTTTTGATCACTATTAACAAAATATACCGTATGGTATCCCAAAGTAATAAATTTATAGCGTATGCTATCATTTTTATGTTGAAAAGCATTGTGGATTATTTCTTTTAGACGATTTTTCAATTTCACATGGGAAATTATAGTATACAGGGTTGAAAAATCAAAAGTTTTGATGGAACAGTGAGCAAGGTTATAGTTATGTGGTCAAATCTGTATCTCAGAAACTATAAACAGTAGGTCAACTAAATTTGGTGTCTGGAATGATTGTAAGGTGTATATTTCCGATTGGCATGTTTCATTTAACCCTGACCTCATTTTCCTGGTACATTGAAAAATGTTTGGTCTATTTCTCAGATACCAGAAGCAATATGTCAAGTTTATTTATTGTATCGAATAATTGTAAGGTGTACATGTCTGTCTGCAGGTTTCATATGATCTTGACCTATTTGTTGTGGTTCATTGGTCAATGACAGATTTGTGTGGTTATGTCAGTTAATCAGTTACTATAAACAATAGGTTAGCTATATTTGGCGAATGGAATGATTGTAAGGTGGCAGAGTTTGTATGACCTTGACCTCATTCATGGTTCATTGGTCAATGTTAAGATTTTGTGGTTTGATTTGTTTTTCATGCACTATAAGCGATAGGACCACTATATTTTGTGTATGGAATGATTGATAGGTGTGCATGTCCGTCTTGCATGGTTCATTTGACCGTTACTTCATTTTCATGGTCCATTGTTAAGTTTTATTCAACTTGATTTCTACTAAAACCTTCCTACTACAGACTTTCAACATGAAAGCAATCATAACCAAAACAGGACGGACATTTCAGTGTGTGCACTCATGTATTCATTTTCAGACTTCTTAGCAGATATTGAGGTGATAAATGATTTTGACTTTATAATAAATTAGTTGAATTTTAACATTCCCAAAATAAGAAGATGAGGTATGGCTGCCAATGAGACGACTATCCACAAAAGACAGAATAATGTAGATGAAAATTACTTTAGGTTGCCATTCGCTTTCAACAATAAACAAAATTTAATATGTAAAAATATTTGAATGAGAAAAATCTACGACTTGGTTTTAATACAATAGTACAACGAAAAAGTCCTAAGATGATACCTACTAGTATAAATACTCAGCCTAGGTATTCAGAATTGATATAGTATTTGGTTTGGAACTTTAATACTGTGATGTACTATGTTAGCAATTTTTAGTTTAGCCTGACGGTCAACTATTTTTTAATTTATAACCATCTGAGATAAGAATTTTGTAAGGAGGGTTTCGAAGGACGCTTATGTATGCAACTTCTTGGTTATGACGTTTTTTTTTTTTTTTGCATTTATTATAATAACAAAATGATGCAGGTAAGTTTACAAATGCCAGTACTGTAACAAGGAGAATGGCTCCATTTATAATACCTGTTGACATGTGTAGTGGTCCAATGACACAGTTATCGTCCCTAGTGTAAACAGTGTATAACTTACGAATATAGTCCCTAGTGTAAACAGTGTATAACTTACGAATATAGTCCCTAGTGTAAACAGTGTATAACTTGCAATTTTTTCTCATACACTTTCCCAATTTATTTCTTGATATTTGATGCATGAAATATTAAGCAAGGGGGTGAAATTACATGTTAAAAAAAATCGTGTGCTAAATCTGTATGTTAAGTATTGATATGGTCTAGTTAAAAAAAAAGGTCAAAAATCAGCATGTCTGAAACTGTCAAACTAAATTTTAGACCCCCTTAACATAGAATTGCCCATATTTTGAGTTAGAGCTGGTAGAAGTTTCTATAAATTTGATATTATTTGTCCCAATAGTAGTACACTACACTGTAAAAATCAGTGAGAAATTGAGATAAAGCAGTAGCAATTTTTTTAGTTTGAATTTATTGTCTGAAAGAAATGCATTACGAAATAACTGTGTTCTCGGGCCTAGTCTGCGTTAGTTAAAATATTCATCAAAAATATATTACTGAAAATTAATATTTAAGATCTATATATGGTACCAGAATTTTAAAAACTTGAAGGACCAACTTACAATAAAACAACTTTATCATCATTCGGTTTATTTTTGATAAGAAGATGTTAAATAAATGAAGTTGAAAAAAAAAGAGAAAAAATATTCATAACTTATAAGTCAAGGAAAAACTGACAACACCTTGGTAAAAAAAAACACGAACAAAACCATAACATCCTTGATGTTTCAAAGTTGATACTATGCTGTTTCTTTCTTTATGTATTTTAGAAATAGAAACATGTCTTTGCGTTTGGTTTTTCGTCGGGTGCTACAATGTT